GTGCCCTCTTGCTGCCTTTCCTCCGAGATGGAATAGATTTAGCTTGTGCATTGAGGATCGCTCCCTTGAGGAGTAACCACTCTTCTTGAACTCCCCTCTCTCTGGGGTCATGGTTAGCAGATCGAGGAAGTGATTCTTCCCCTATTGGGCACTGGTGAGGCCACATCTGGAGTACTGTGTCCAGTTTCGAGGCCCCCCACTACATAAAGGATGTGGACAAATCGGACAGTGAAGCAAAAGACAATGGCAAAGGTTAGAGTGCTGGGGCACATGACTTATGAGGAGAGGCTGAGGGAACCAGGCTTATTTAGTGTGGAGAAGAGAAGACTGAGAGGGGATTTAATGGCAACCTTCAACTACTTGAAGGATTGTTCAAAAGAGGATGGAGCTAAACTGTTCTGCGGTGGGAGATGAGAGAACAAGGAGTAATGGTCTCAAGTTGCAGCAAGGGAAGTTTAGGTTAAATGCAAGGAAAAACTCTCATGAAGAGGATAGTAAAGCACTAAAACAGGTTACCCAGAGAGGCTGTGAAATCTCCATCCATGGAGGTTAAGACAAGCCTTGGCTGAGATCTAGTTGGGGATGGTCCTGCTTTGAGCAGGGGATTGGACTAGATGACCTCCTGAGGTCCTTTCCAAGCCTCATTTTCTCTTATTCTATAATTCTCAGCTCAAGTCTCACTATTCCTTTGCTGTCAGTTAAGCTTCCATGGAAACAACTGGCAAAAGGTGGAGCAACCTTCTTCCTTACCATCTAACCCCAGGTGGTCAACCTGCAACATAGGTGCCACACATGCCACTGGTAGCTTGCATGTGTGGCATGTGGCAGATTGGGGAGGCAGCAAGTACAGTGACAGATAGAGCGCAGAACAGAAAGCAGAGCATCAAATTAGGCAGGGAGCAGGGCAGGAAGCAGAGCAGCAGCTTGGTCAGCAAGCACATACATACATATTCCTAAATTCAAATTCAATAGTCAATCAAATTCCAAATCCAAATTATCTAAGATCAATAATTGTCTCTATCAATATCCACAGGCCATATTTTCTACTGGACCACATTCTGTGTGCAAGTCCAAGGCCCATATGCCCCCGCTGCATCATACTTAATCTTAGCTAAAAGGAAAGTTATTGCAGAAAACAAAGCTGTGAACTTACAGCACGCTAGCTACTTATTAGTGCACCATATGGACGCAGTGCCAGTTAGCTCACTTCAGAAGCTGGGTAAGCAATCTTTCATAAAGGCACTATTTGGGCACTAAGTCCATCCCATACAAGTAGTCAGTATGTTGATAATTGATGCTCCACTTTAAAGCATGCTACTTTTCCCATCTAGACATGACCTTAGGCCAGATTTATGCTTCATAGTTTTGCCAGCAGAACCCAAGATCTACTACCGAAACAGAGTACCTCCACACCTCTAGCTCCCCCACAGCAATACAAGTACCGTTGTCTGCTAGCAGAGTGACCCCAGGTCTCCAACAAAAAGGCAGCTTCTGTGCCACGTGACAGAACACACATACAGACATGGTTGTAACTCTTGACTCTTGAGCCATGCCTATCCACAGTGCACGTTCTTCAGCTGCGCTAGCAGAGCACAGCCATGTGGATTCTGAAGCAGTTGTGTGGAACTGCCAGGAAGCAGTTTCGCTGTGATGCTTGCTACCTGCTACCAGAATTACCACCAGCAGAAGCAGCTTACTGTAGAAAAAGCCTTAGTGATCCATTTTTACAACAGTAAAAGGAAGGTGCTTTATGCTGCACAAGGAACCTATGCTGAAACTATATTAGCTCTGGCTACTACTGACTACTTCACCAGGTCTCCACAAAAGCTCAATAAAATCTACACAAGTTAATTGCAGATGCCTCATTTAATACAGTATTACATTTACAGTGCGGTGGTTTCAACCATTAGAAATTTCACAGCTTTCTGCATCATCTGCACATATCATATTTAGCATGCATTATAATGAATGACATAGACAGTCCAATAGAGCACTACAAGTGGTTACAGAAAATGAAAATACAACCATGCATCAATTTTCACTTTGAAATAACAAACATACATCTTAGAACATACTTGTTCAATTTTTAAGAAAAGTGCTTATCCTTAAATAGAACATAACAAAACTGCAAACTGTTCTTATGTAGTGGCTACTATAAGCCACTCCTATTGTGCTGATTATTCATAAGACAGCTATCCAGAAGCCTTGAGAACACTTGTCAAGCTGCATTTTAACTGTTCTCCTCACATTTGTGATACCTTCTTGAAGTCTGAAAATTAAATCTTTCAACTTGGAAAAAGATACTTCTTTATTGAAATTAAGCCAGGATGGAATATAAAAAAAGTATTTTTTATGTAAGGGAATGATTTGATATCTGGGATGGATCAACAGATGTAATTAAACTATGTAGGAGGCTTTATTTTCTTTGATATATGGGTTTCAAGGAGGAAAACCTTGATATCCATTTCCACATATTTGATAGTTACAAAACAGTTGGCTCTGAAAATGTATCTCAAATGTCTTATGTACTTCTAGGTAATTCAAAACACTTTTTTGAGCAACTGTAGTTCACCACTAAGAGCTGAAGTTTTCTTTAAAGTTATGATTGCTAATGTTTGACCTGGATACATATACAGTTAAGGCAACAACTTTTAACCCTCCTTCCCTCTGCCCCCTATCCCTCAGTACTACTGCCATATTGTAGTCTTTTAAGTACATTCAAATTTTGTTCTAAGCCAGAAGACAGCCTCCTGTACATTTTTAATTCATCTACTTTGTATTTTGGTCAGAAGACGGGTTTGCATAGAAAGTTATGATTCTGAAAATATTTTTACAGCACATTCCAAATAACCATAGTTCTATAACTTGATCTTCAAGAATTATTGTGCAATTACATCTTTTAAAATTCACTGTATAACTTGCAGTATATAACAGTATACAGTAATGGCTTGATTTAAATTAATAGTAATTTGCTACCATTTGCAGAAGAGGGCCCCAAGACAGTTTCAGATCAAAATGGATTAAAGACACTTCCACAAATTGTTACTGTAGTCCAAAAACGCCAGTTTTAAACATTAATCAAGCCTCAATATCAATAGGGAATGTTGACATAAACACTATAGTACTAACAAACGTCACTGGTCACTTCTTTATAAAAATGTAGATTTTTTATATTCTATTATCAATATTGAGACTCTCCAAAGAAAAGGGCTATTCGCTGGCAAATACTCAGCAATGGAGTTAGTGGAACTTCATAAACATCCTGCATTTTCTGTGACAACAAGAAAGAATGGATTGGTACCTTTATTCCAAGAACGAAGATCATCTGTACCTCTGCTTCATTTAGTGAAATTTCAGTTGCAGGATATCATATGCAGATATTTGATACATGTCAGTACTGTATAATCAAGAGTGCTCCAAGTATTATTTTCCCCTTTACCAAATAACTAAAACACTGCTGTCTGCTACTGATAGAAGCCAAGTCCTGGAACATTAAAGCTAATCATGTAAGTAAGAGTGGACTTATATTCAAAAGTGCCAAGCACCTTCAACTCCTTTAAAAGTTAATATATTAACTTAAGGAGCCTAATTTTAGTCATGCAGATTTTAAAACTTTGCCAAGAGAAGCAAGTTGCAGGTTAAAGGCAAACATTCACACAAGATCTCTATATGACATGTTAAAAATAGGTCTTTAAATGGACCAGTTACATTTCTTCTTTCAGGACTCATATGATCTCTCTTGTCCAAGGCATATCAACACTAATACACATGACTAAGACTTTTTTTTTTTTTAGGCCTGGAATTTATACCCAGTAAATATTAGCAAAACATAATGGATCTAGTATTCTCCAGAAACGCAATTCAAAACAAATTGTAATTAGTTACAAGATTCACAACGTTAAAAGTGCTTTCGCAAGGACTTCTCAAAATACTTCATGAACTCTGAAGTGGTTATCTAAGGAAGGGATTTCATCTGCAAAATGAAGCTCATCATTGACTTGTACACCAAATTCTTCAAGGGTCTCTACAAATTTCTCATGCTCTCTCCCAATCCATGATCTCATTGTATCAAACACTTGGTAAGGTGTAACATGAGCATGAACTGCAATCCCTGTCTGGGCAAATTCTTTCAAGACTGCCGGGTGAGTAACCCAAGTACTGCTTCCTCCAGAGTGACCACCATCCAGCCAATAAATTGCTTTTATGTTTTTTATGAAGGCATCTGTGTTCTTGTCCTTTTTAGCTTCCTTTAGCTCATAAAGCAACTGGTTCAAAACCACACAGCCTTTGCTGAAGCCAACCAAAGTGAAAGATGCTGCACCTGTAATAGTTGGTGTACCAAAACTCAAAGTGCAGTTACCAGAAATTTCACCGTTTCTCTCTTTCTCTACCACTGGGCAGCCATTTGAAGTAAGAGCAGACTGAGATTTACAAGCAGTTATCTTTGCATCTTTGTGGACACCATACGTGGTCTTCTGGGACAGCAAAATGTTCTGAGAGACTTTGAATGCATTAACTAGTAATGCATGAAGGTGTTTGAAGGCTCCATAGTCAGTGCTGTGTTCTGGTGCTCCAAACATGTTGCTTGCCACAAAATTGTCATAGCAGCTGAATTTGTGCAGATGCATACGGGAGCATTTCACAACCCAAATAAAACTATTAGGGAATCGGTGAGCAAGAATGGTAGCAACATTTTCAAAACTCCAGTGCTCCCACTGAAAGTTTTCTGGATGACTGGACATAACATCATGATAGTTCTGAAAGAAAGAAGATAACTACATTACCTACCATTGTGACAGACTTCTGGGGTACTAATGATCAAGTGTTTCATTAACCCTGTCTCCCACAGAGGTAGTGTGTTAGTCTGAAGTCAGGCAGAAGGCAGGGTAGAGTGGCTTCTCATAAACCAATTCAGAAAGACGTAAGCCTTTATAAGCATCGGGCAAAATAAGCTGCTGCTTACAAAATCAGCTACTTTATAAGTTGCCTCTCTGCTGTGCCTTCTGCCCTCTCACCTAAGCACACACGAGAAGAGACTACAGCCAGTTGACAGAGGGAAAAATGAGTCGTTAGGACTGTTCCACCTTGGAGGCATGTGGCACCCCAATCTGGCCCAACATGGGGTGAAATAAGACCCGTCCTTGTCAAGTATTTTGTCTGCATTGCTCTTACTGCAAAAGCTAATAGGAATTCCATTAATAGAAATGGGACAGTGGAATATCAAAGAGTTCTTGGGATTTATTTTCTGACCCTTCATTAAGGTAGACTTAAGCAGGATGAGCTATTTAAAACTAAATGAGTCAGACTGACTTTAATGATTGTTATATTTAAGAGAGAATTAGCTTGATAATGATACAGTATTAAAGGTTTAAGGACAGACAATAGTGAAATAGTGTCTTTTGTGAAATGCCCCACGTACAATAAAAATCAATGTTATCAGTAGCTTATTAAGTTCCAGTTTTAGCCTTAGAAGCAAGTTCTGAAAAAACAGTAAAAATAATTAACCCCCACCCCAGCACTGGCAACCCTTGTTGGATTAGCTTTTTATGATAATATACATGCAATTAACATGATTTTTTAGTTCAAATCTGGCATTTCACACATCATGAACATACATAATGCTTCCAATCTAATGAAACTATGACCATGGTTGTTACACCAGCAGATCAAGAGAGGCGACTCTTCCCCTCTATTCAGCACTGCTGAGGCCACATCTGGAGCACTGTCCCGTTTTGGGCCCCTCACTACAGAAAGGCTGTGGACAAATTGGAGGGTCCAGAAAAAAATCAATGAAAATGGTTCGGGGGCTAGGGCACTTGACTTCTGAGGAGAGGCTGAGGGAACTGGGTTTATTTAGTCTGGAGAAAAGATAACAGAGGAGGGGATTTAATAGCAGTCTTCAACTACCTGATGAGGAGTTCGAAAGAGAATGGAGCCAGACTGTTTTCAATGGTGGCAGACGACAGAACAAGGAGCAATGGTCTCAAGTTGCGGCAAGGGAAGTTTAGGTTGGATACAAGGAAAAACTCTCGCAAGGAGGGTACTAAAGCACTGGAACAATCTACCGAAAGAAATTTGTGTAGATGCATACAGGAACATTTCATAACCCAAATAAAACTATCAGTGAGCACCCCAAACAGTTTTTAAGACATGGATAGACAAAGCCTTGGCTGAGATGAGCTAGTTAGGGACGGCTCTGCCCTCCCAAGGTCCTGTCCAGCCCTCATTCTCTGCAATTTGGTATGGGACAGAAGACACTGTTATCTGTTTGTCCTTTCTGCACGGGATAGGAGGACCTTCACTTTGGATCTGCTCGAGTTTGACACACCCAGGCAGGAATACGCCGATCACCCTGCTTCCCCGCGCACAGTCCCCCTGGCACCTTTACTGTCTCCTTCTACCTGGGCACGCTCAGCCCAGCCAACCCCCCCGGCCCAGGCAGGGAGGCGCGCGGGCCGGTACCTGCACATCCCCCGGGAAGTACACGACGTGATGCTGGGGCTGAGGCGGCGGCTGGCCCGGCCCCTCCCCCGCGGGCGTTGGCGACGGCGGCAGCAGCAGCAGCTCGTTGGCCCGTTGGGGTTCGGCGCCCGGCACGTCGGGC